TGTCACTAAAATACGAAATATATTATTATAATTACACTTTATAAAGTTTTACCAGCTGTATTTATAATATACGAAATTCAAATAATTAGTTTTTTGACAGAAGGAAATAAATTGTCGGATGGTTTGACACAATGTCAATGGAAGCTAGATAAAATCAAGAAAACATTATAGTCTAAGAGCTAGCAACGTTTTCGAAAAAGTATTTTAAGACGTCTGGCTCTTTGATATATCTTTTACTATGCTCTCTGGAACAGCATGCGGCCCGTCTGGCTGCCGATACCCGTTGCGTTCACTACTGCGCATCGAAAGAAGATCCTATATTTTTTATTAATTTAGTCCTATAAATTCTAGAATTGAATATAAATCGAACATGTCTCCATAGCGCAGTGCGTCGAGTTTCCGACCACGAACCGATGATTCAGAGTTCGAATCCGGGTCAGGGCAAATACATTTTTATTTTATTTTCGTTTATATTCTGATAGTAAAGTATTAAATATTTGTTTTTTTTTCTAATTACCAGAATTATTTAATACTTTACTATGAGAATATAAACGAAAATAAAATAAAAAAGTCTTTAACCTGACCCGGATTCGAACTCTGAATCATCGGTTCGTGGTCGGAAACTCTACACACTGCGCTATGGAGACATGTTCGATTACTATTCAATACTAGAATTTAAAGAACTTATAAAAACATAGGATCTTCTTTCAATGCGCAGTAGGGAACTCAACGTTTACCGGCATCCAGACGGGCCGCATGCTGTTCTAGAGAGCATAGTAAAAGATATATCAAACAGCCAGACGTCTTAAAATAGGTACTTGTTTTTCCGACGTTGCTAGCTCTCGTACTATTATCTTAAATAACTTAAAAACGATTTATTTCAGTAATAGGAACATCTCTATCAAAAAGTAATGAATTGAAAAACCTTTTCACTAGTGACATAAAAAAGGGGGTTTCCATTTGAAAAAAAAACGATTTATGATAATTTTTTAATCGCTTAATTCCATGACAGCTACGGCCAATGTTATATGACATTCGAACAACTTAATTTTTGAAATAGATAGCCACATGTCTTCTTTTTATGTCACAGTGGCTGGGTTAATCACTAAACTTGTCGTTTAGGTTATACAGATTTTTTGACAGGCAGTTTTTTCCTCCAAAAATTTTAAATATTTTTTTCTCAAAAACGATTAATGTTAGATACAGAGTGTTTGATATCAAAATTCATAAAATTTTACAGATAATCCCAAGTATGTAATAAAAATTAATAAGATTATAATAATTTAAAATAATTAAGAAAGCTACTGTCAACTTCCGGTATTTCCGGAAGTGTTGCCATATTGAAAATATTTTTAATCGATAGATCTCGTTGCGAAACAATGATGTGCAAAAAATCTCCGATCTAGATATTATAGTTCACTAGAAACTACTAATGCACGCTCAGCCGGGGACACCCCATATTACCCCCATAACAACCTATAGTTTAGTAATTTTAATTAAGTTAGAATAACCGTTCAGTTCTAAATTTTCATGGTAACAACCTTGGATTAAACCTGCCCATGTGCAAGATCAAACCCGTAGGATTGTGCCTGATGAAGTAAAGAAACGGTCTGTCGAAACGTAGTCGTGGAACGTCGGGTATTCTCGCCTGTCTCGGTCGTTGGGACAATGGAAGAGCTAGAAGAGTGGGATCGTAGAATGGATCATGGAAAGCTCTTTGGTAGTCTCTTGGTTCTTGTTCTTCTAGGTCTGTAGGTACGTTCTGGAGATACCTGGCTCTCCTAAAAAAATTAAATTAACTAATTTAAAGTATATAGATATTGTTACCAAGCAAGGAAGACAAGACTGTTTAATCCCATAAAACTTAGTTTATGGCATATTATCATACGTATGTATAAGTATGAGAGCTAACAACGTCGGAAAAACAAGTATTTTTAGACAAATGGCTCTTTGATATATCTTTTACTATGCTCTCTGGAACAGCATGCGGTCCGTCTGGCTGCCGGTAAACGTTGCGTTCCTACTGCGCATTGAAAGAAGATCCTACATTTTATTAGTCCTTTAAATACTAGTATTGAATATAAACGACCGAGTCTCCATAGCTCAGCACGTAGAGGTTCTGCCTATCAAGCGAGAAATCAGAGTTCGAATCCGGGTCAGTGCAAACACTTTTTTATTTTATTTTCGTTTATATTCTAATAGTAAAGTATTAAATATTTGTTTTTTTTAATCATCAGAATTATTTAATACTTTACTATCAGAGTGTAAACGAAAATAAAATAAAAAAGTCTTTGCCCTGACCCGGATTCAAACTCTGAATCCTCGGTTCGTAGTCGGAAACTCTACGCAGTGCCCTATGGAAACATGTTCGATTTATATTCAATACTAGAATTTATAGGACTAAATTAAAAAAAATATATAGGATCTTCTTCCAATGCGCAGTAGTGAACGCAACGGGTATCGGCAGCCAGACGGGCCGCATGCTGTTCCAGAGAGCATAGTAAAAGATATATCAATGAGCTATTAAAGACCGCTGATTAAAAACGCTAATTTTCAATCAACGAACCGTGGTAAAATAGATTTGATCGTTTAATGTTTTTAGTGTCTTGTCCTGGCCGGTTAAAAGATACCCATATCGTATTTTTAATCATATATGATTTCAAAGTAACGAGGGTGGCTCATTAGCATTTTTGGAAAAATATTTTTTTACGAATAATTTGGTACCACACACTTGGTATTTCGAGCCAAACTGTCATTATAAAACAAACATGTTACAATTTCAAATAAACCATATCCGAAAATGTCAAAAGATGGAATATGATATGTCATTCTATTGAGAGTATCACTTTCTATCGAATAAAGTAAAAAATACCGAGGGTGCCATTTAAAAATCAAAAGTTGTAGTCATTTCCGGTGACACAGGGAGTGACCGAAAACAATTGAATACGGCAATCAATCCTCATTTAAGTCAAATACTAACATAGTAAATCTCGTTTTTTTATTTAAAAAAGAACAAAAAAGCTATAGGGGTGAGCCACTTTTGAGACGCGCCCGGTATAGATAAATAGAATAGAAATTAAAACATATCTTTTTAATAATTTTCACAGTGGAAAACGCACAACAATTTCAAATTTATGAACATTTTTTTTTATCGGAAGAGTGCAAGAAAGTTGCAAAAAAACTGTTTTTTTTTCTACGTTTATACGATACGCAACTACGACAACAATTTTTAATCAAAGAGCCTTGGAAAAATAGATTTTCGTGCCTTGTCGTGACCGGTTAAAAAATGCCCAAATCGTATTTTTAATGATATCACAATTTTTTCAAATGGAACAATGATGGCTCGTTAGCATAATTTGGAAAAGGTATTTTTTACGAATAATTTGGTACCACAGACTTGGTGTGTTTCGAGTCAAATTGTCGTTATGAACCGCATGTTACAATTTCAAATAAACCGTATCCGAAAATGTCAAAAGTTGACGTATGATATGTCATTCAATTCAAAGTGTAATTTTCTATCGAATAAAGTAAAAATTACCGAGGGTGCCATTTAAAAATCAAAAGTTGTAGTAATTTCCGGTGAAATACGAAATGACCGAAAACAATTGAATACGTTAATCAATCCTAATTTATGTCATATACTAACATACCAAAGCTTGTTTTTAATCTGAGAAAATAAAAAAGTTATAGAATGCAATATTTTCAATTTCGCCCCATAAAGACCATGAAAAAGTAACAAATATTCGCGAGAACTGCAATAATTTATTTTTAGCAAACGCGGATATATCCGACTTGAGAACTAAAATAGAATACCCTATACATAGGCCTTTGTTTCTGTCAAAGGTAATTTTGATAACATTCTATCGATATTCGTCATTCAGCATCCTTACCTAGCTTTCAAAGATGTTGCAGGATATATCTCCGAATGGTGCGACTCTCCAATTTTTCTGTCCCCGCAAGTAGCAAAATTGTTGATTTGCAGAATGTCCGCTAGGTGGAGTTCGTTGGGAATGCCGTTCAGGCCTCTCAGATCCGCCTGTTCTGGATGGAACAACTCGTGTAGACCCATCTTCTTCAACGTTGAGGTGGCGTTGATGATCGATTTGTGGGAGAAACGAGGTATTTGGACTTCCAAACCTGGTCGTGGGATCAGGGAACGTAGCAATCTGGACCATGCACCTGGAAGATAGAAGAGTTTGATATACAGGGTTGTTCACCACATACGACACGGGGTATTATAGCTAAACGATTAGATTTTTACAAATTGTAAGTTTTGGGTTCGTTGAAGGATTATTAGAGCAAAAATTTAAAAGTAATTTTACAAGATACAGATACAAAATTGTACTAACTTAAACAGAGTGCCCAAAATTTTATATTAAATAATGGCTGTACTTAAACTGCCGTTAAACGGTAGCTTACTAAAATGCCGTTAATAGGTATGACGTCGTTGATGTGACGCACTTGACGCGCTTTATGAAATATAGGAATTTTATAAGGACTAACCAAGGCTACCCACCACACCAAATAACCAGCTTAACCAACGCAACTAACCTCGACACTGATAAAAAAAAATATAAAAGACAAATATAAATTAGTAAAAACCAACCAACCCCACCAAATAACCAACTAATCAATGAATTAACACCCTCCAAATAACCACGCTAACCAACCCGCCAAATAACTAAACCAATCCAACCAAAAAGAGTGAAACCAATGAGAAAAATAAGATCACGTTATAAGCAAAAAAAAATATAAAAAAGTCTTGGTCGGCGTGAGATTTGATTCACGGACCATGCGCTCACGAAGCGATAGCCTCAGCCACGGAGCCACAGGTGCTCTTGTAAAACGCTTATAGGCAGGCATTACTTTCCGCAGACATGAACGACGTCAGAATATTTATTAACGGTATTTTAGTAGACTACCGTTTAACGGCTGTTTAAGTACATCGTTAAATAATTACTAGCTTTTAACGGCAATAACTTAATTTAAGTGGAACACCCTATATATTTTACGAGAATCAGATGCACAATTTAATTGTCTATTAAATTGTATCACACCATTTTTTACCATCTCCTAGTTTTCGTAGAAAAGGCTTTTTCTTATAATTTAGACGTAATTGATCACTATACCCATGGAATATCGACATTTTAGATTATTTTTAAAGATGTAACAAATTTTCAAAGAGTACAGATACTAATATTGTCGATATAGTTCGCTTATTTCATTAAATAAATAAAAAAAACTGTTTAAATATTTTTTGTTAAAGAGGACCAATTAATATGATCCCAGTATTCAAAATACATTAATTGAGTCTTTACGTTGATTAATAATAATAGCTCCAAATACTAGAGACGCTGAATTTTGTATGTGTTAGACAGTGTTAAAAAGTAACACCTTATAAATTTCTGTTTCATTTTTGACGAATGCTTATTTTTATAACAGCAGAGACGTTCATTTTCTAACTTATTATTATATTGATTTTTTTTTTTTTTTTTTATTTAGAATAATTTAACTAATTAATTAACTAATTTTTGGATGGAAATAATTGTGGTATAATTAATAATTGGTATAATTACTAAATTAAAAAAATGTTTTAAATAGTTTTCTTTTGTAAACAAATAAGCTTGCAATATTATTATTTTTACCACCTGTACATTTTTGCAG